TGCCGCAAGTTGGGGCCGTGCCCGAAGCGGCGCCCGCAGTCGGGGCAGCTTTAGGGGCGCTCGCCCGAGTGCACGCGCCGGTGCTGGGCCAGGTGGGCGGCGCGGGCGAAGGCCTTGCCGCAGCCCCTGCACTGGTAAGGGCGCTCGCCGGTGTGGGTGCGCTGGTGCCGCAGCAGGTAGGCGCTCTCGCCGAAGCGGCGCCCGCACTCCCCCCAGCCGGAGGGACGGGCCACGGCGGGGGGACGGTGCTGGTGGGCCCGCCCGCAGTCCGGACAGGCGTGGGGCCTCTCCCCACCGTGTGCCCGGCGGTGCCGGGCCAGGTTCGAGGCCTGCCTGAAGCATCGCCCACACTCCGGGCAGGCGTGGGGCTTGGCCTCGGCCTCATCGCCAGGGGCTGCCGTTGTCGCTGCGGTCTCCCCTGCCAGCAGCCGCTGGGCCAGGCTGGGGCTGAGGTCGTAGCTGCGGCCACGCTCCAGGTAGCGGCAGGGCCTGAGGCCCAGGCGGGTCACTCGGTGCACGATGACACCACCCAGCTCTGCCAGGCCCTGCTCAGCCTCTGTGGGGTCACCTGGGGACAGGCTGGGGTCAGCCGGGGATGCGCTGGAGCTGCCGGGGTCAGAGTCTCCTTCCTCCGGCTCCTCCTCCACGCGCCCGGGGGCCGCCGCAGCATCTGAAAGCAGAACCCTGCACTCAGTCACTGTCCCTGCGGTGGGAGGGGCTGGCACGCGTGGTGCCCAGCCCAGGGTTGGGATTCATCTCAGAGAAGACACCCCAGCTCTGGGGGAGACCAGGGTCATCACCTGGGCACTGCAAACAGCGGGAGCGGGAGTCTGGGTGGATGCGAGGAGGGAAACAGGGTGGGAGGGCAGAGGGTGCAGAGCCAGGGGGAGAACCCAGGTGTCTGGGCTCCCGGTGCCTCCTCCTTCCCCCACCTCCCTGCTGGTACTCACCAGCCGGGGCCTCCCTCTCCGTGGAGCTGGAGGGGTCTCGCGAGGGACGCCCCCGGGCACCCATGTCCTCCTGTAGCTCCATGAGCGTCGGGGGCCACTCTCCCTACAGGGCGGGGGTGCGAGCAGACGGGTCACGGAGCGCAGACACACGGACAGCGCCACGTCCCCTCCCACCGGCCCCAAGGCTGGGACGCAACAGCAGACGCAGCACCCAAGATGTGACTGCTTCTGGGGGAGGGTGGACACTGGGGACGCAGGGCCCCTCTCGCCGGGCCCTGGGATGCGGCTGGCTCTGGGGTGGGACCTGCTGCACTCATCCCCAGGGAAGGGGGGGCTCCCGCCGCGGCTGCCTGGGTTGGACTTGGGGTGGGAACTGCCAGCCCCTTTGTGTGGCTTCCTTTGCAAGGCATCCTGGGAAATGACCAGCCCCCCCCCCCTCGCACGGCACTGTGGGGGCTGTAGTTCCTGCCCCTGGAGATGGTTGGGGGGAGGTCAGACAGGAAACCAAGGAGATAGATGGCTGCTAGGGGTCACCACTGGTTATTGCTAGGAGGTCAATCCTGGGTGTATGGTTTCGGGGTGGGGGAGGAGGCATGTCCAGGGGGACAGATGCTATGGGGATGAGATCTGGGGGGGCAGAGCCCAGGGCACAGCACCCAGCACTAGAGGGGCCTGGCCCTGCAAGGAGGCAGGCAACGGGACCTACAGAGACACCCCCACCTCCCTTCCAGGGGCTCTGGGGCAGTCCCCCAATCCAGCAGGCGCAGAGTCAGACACACAAAAGCCAGATCCAAGTCGAGTTTTAAATGTTTATTAGTTGCTGGAAAAGCCATGGCCAGAGACTCCGATGTGGGGGAAGAAGAGTCAGAGATGGACAGGGTAGGGGCAGGAGGAGCCCAGAGGCCATGCTGTTGGGGGGGGGGCGGGGGGGGGGGGGGGGGGGGGGGGGGGGGGGGGGGAAGGGGGACCGAGCATCCCCTACGCTCAGAGAGAGGAGAGAAAGGAGAGGAGGATTCTCCCTCCACCACCCTGAGGGGAACGTGTGACCTAGAAGACGGTGCCCACCCCGCACTGCCCACCTGGGCCAGTGCCTACTGGGTGTAGGGCTGAGGACACCCCCAGGGGTCGAGACGCTTAAATTAGAGAGAGGGGGAAAGGGAAAGAAGGAAAAAAAAACAAACAAAAAAAACTCAGTGGCGGAGTCGAGGGGGGCCGCGACTTTACTGAAACCCGAGCGCCTCGTGGGCAGGTGGGGGCACGGCGGGCAGGGGGGGGGGCGCCGGGGCCGCCCGCCACGCGACCTGCAAGAGAGCACAACAAAGCATCAGCGCCGCGCCGCCCGGCCCAGCCCCTGCCCCACTCCATCCCTTCCTACCCCCGACCCCCATCACAGCCCAGCCCCACAGGCCGTGCCCGGCTCCCCGCAAAACAGGCCCCAGGGTCCCAGGCAAAGCTGAGGTGGCTGGCGTGGGCTCCCTGGAGCCACGTGGCCAAAGCAGGGGTAGGCCAGAGGGTGACGCGGCAGGTCCCAGCAGCCCTCCCCTGGCACTCGCGTGCCCACCTCTCCCGGAGAAAGCTGACAGAGGGGGCCGGGCTGATCCCGGCTGTGGGCAGGACCCCAAGCTGCAGGCTGGGGAGGGTGGGTGGACTCCACACCCAGCCAGGGGCCACCTCTACCACCCGAGAGGGTGAAGCTGGGCCCAGCCTACAGTGCTAGCCTACAGCTTCAGTGCCAGCCGTGGCTGGCCGGTACATCATGGTCCCGATGCTCCCGATGGATGACACCAGCCAGGGTTTGGGAAGAGGCGGCCGAGTCCCTCCCTGTGCCCCTACATCCGGCGAGGTACGCACTCAGAGACTTCTCCTCCAGGAAGCCTGAGGCCTGCCCTTCCCTGGGGCGGCCCGCGTAGCACAGAACCAGGGGCTGCGGCCAGGCCCGGTAGGGCTGTGTCATCGCCCGGGATGGCCTGCGTGCTCCCCTTCCTCCCTGCCCCGGCCACCCGCGCTCACCTCCGGCTCAAAACGCAGAGTACCGCGCCCTGTCCACGTATGGGTCGCGCTCGAACCGCTGCACGTCGTAGAGGGAGGCCGCCCGCGTGACCGACGACGCTGGGGACAGCTGGCTTCGGTCGTACGCGTACGCCTCTCCGACGGTGGTGGCCGCGGCTGGTGTGCGGGACA